CAAGAGCCGTATATAGCAGTTTGTAGGTATATGGATCCGAAAACTCGAATGAATTGCGACGAATGAAGCTCAGAACTGAATACGATTTTGAGAGTATAAAGTTAATATGACTACTGAACGAAAATTTCGAGTCGTAAATAACTCCGAGGTCCTTAAACTCTGTAACATTCTGTAGTGCATGATTAGCAATGTTGTATGTTGTGTCAAAATTGGTATGACGCCTCGAAAACGTTATATGGAAACATTTTTTAATATTTACGGAGAGACGCGACCTCTCGCACCAGCGATGGAGATTATCCAGATCACATTGTAGCTTCCGAGCATCCACTGAGTCCTTAACAGTTGAAAAAATTTTCAAATCATCGGCATAAAGCAGACAATTTGAAGAAAAACATTTACTGATGTCATTGATAAAAAGGACAAAGAGAAGGGGCCCCAAGATGCTTCCTTGGGGAACACCTGAAGTAGCAACAAAGTGGTTCGACAAAACACCGTCTATTGATACCACACAGCATCTATCCGTCAGGTATGATCTAAGCCACTGCAGAAAGATGGAGTGAAAGCCCAAGCAGGCTAAGTTGTTAATTAGAATCATGTGCGACACTCTATCAAATGCCTTAGAGAAGTCTGTATAAATGCAATCGACTTGGAGACCTTTCGAGAACGATAACATACCATACCATGACCATGCTGGTTTGGGTTGATCAAAGACTTAACCGCAAAATAAATCTTATCCTTAACTATGGTTTCAAAAAGTTTCGAGATGGTCGACAACTTGGAAATCGGCCTATAGTTGCGAACATCATTTTTTCGTCCACTTTTAAAAAATGGTGTGATGGTAGTAAGTTTCCATTCATTCAGGAAGGTGCCTGAAGATAAGGACTTATTAAATATAACCTGCAGAGGAATTGCTAACGCCGGACAGTTTTTGAGCAAGATTGATGCTTATTGTTAATATCGTTTTTTTTTTTTTGCTGACGCTGCTAGGCATTTTCTTTCATATAAAAAGAAATTTTGAGCATTGTCGAGCCTACTTTATATGGAAGAATATGCACAACACAGACAAATCAAATTAAATGGGCTATAAAACTGCATGTTTACTTAAATTTTTTGGGAATTTTGGTAAGATATATTGAATTTTTTAAATTTTTGTACAAAGTTTGAAATGTGGATGTACATATAAAGTCCTTATTATATAATGCGCTAGAATTTTATAAAAAAATATCAAACATCAAATAAACAAAAGAAATATAGCCAAAACTGTTCAAAATAAAAAGTGTCCTGTTATTTCTTCCACCACTGTATACGTACGCGCCTACATATAAAAGTTTTTTTCAATCTTCAATAAATTGCAATGCCATTCAATAATTGAATTCGATATCAGACTTTTATCTATTCGTTGGACCCAATATTCGGCCACTCTAACAAACATTTCGGCCTATATACCGGCAGTTTAGCGTTCAGTATCGTTCTGAGCTCGCCTAACGCCTCTGATCTGTTGGCACAAACCATCAAAATTTTCATGTAACCCAAAGGAAAAAGTCCACAGACGTTAGATCGCATTATCTCTGTTGCCAATTGACCGGGCCATTTTCGAACTTCGTCTTTAATAAGTCGATGGTCGCGCTCGATGTATGACACGTGGTGCCGTTCTGTCGAAACCACAACACCCTCACATCTATACGACGTAAATGCAGGAACAACTGGTTAATGGGGGCTCCGTTGCGTTCGCCGGCGGAATCGATACCAAATTGCGTTAGTAGAAAGATTTGCAAGTGTCTACTTTCTATGGCGATTCGAAAAGCAATTCATTCGGATTCGATTGCATTTCACTATGAATTTATATTAGTCCGTGTCACCTTTCGAATCACATTCAGTTTCGAATCGCAATACAGAGCATACCCCTGGTTTTAGTCAAAATTTAGAAGAAAAGCGTTCCAGGGACCAAAAATCCTGTACCTGACTACATTTTCGTGAGACCCACTGGGAAAATAGCGAATACATTAGAATAGATGCGCGTTCGACTGCCTACTTGTTGGTCCCGCTTTCAAATCCTGGGGCTCGGACACGTTTCTTCTTTTTTTTTTTTTTATTTGTGGATTTTATTTATAGTTTTTTAAATCTACGCCCGACCCATTACTTGCCGACATACATATGCATATAGTGGGGGAGGTTTTCGATTATAGCCTTACCTTTTCCTACTGGGGTAACTTTAGCTCTCTCCCTCTCTCTCTCTCTCTCTCTCTCTCTCTCTCTCTCTTAGCCAAAAGTTAAAGGATTTAGTTCCGAGTTTTTCTTCTGGAAAATTCATGGACGCTGTCAATTGATCAGCAGTGCTGCATTTGTAAACAAAAATTAAAAGCGTTGAGGAAAAGTGTAAAAAATATTTTTCGATAAATAGAAGTCAAAAACGAAGCACTCGAGGTTGTGTTTTTTCCTCTTACTACTGAGTAAAAGTGCTATTGCATTGCAGAGGGTTTAATACCAAATAATACCAGTGCATTCCATCCTCAAAAATTCCTATCCATTTAAATCCAGTGTGCCTGCGCCATGTCTGTCACTGAGTAAATATGCCACAAAAGACACAAATAAATAAAATTTTGAGTGTACGATAAATTCGATAAGCTCGATTATTCATCTTTTCGTATCCATATGTGCGTGTGTATGCATACGTGTCTGTCTGCGGCAGTTTTGTTCGTCGCATGGCTTACGCCAACTACGTACATACATATGTACGTACTCACGTCTGCGTTTCGAAAGCCTTTCAGCTACTTTTAATTTTTTTATACGTATATCCACCACAACACACAAACAAACATACGCGGCCTTTTGAACTATGTTGCACATGTTTGCGGTTATTTCTTTTTTACAATATGTATCTCCTTTGTGTGCAGCCTGTAATTAAATGTCTATGTTGCGGATTAATTCATTTTCATTTGTGGTGCTGTTGAACCGCCACCCTATCCGCCTCGAAGCTGAGCAAAAGCAGGTGGCGGTAGTGGCGGCGTTTGTGCCGGGGGCGGTATGTACATAAGTAAGTGTTGCACATGCAAATAACCAATACAAAAAATGCAACAATAACATGAAATAAGAGTGTCGGAATTTTTTGCTGCATTCTGTTGTGCGGTTATGCGGTAATTCTTTGTTTGTTGATGTTGTTGTTGTTAAATTTTTTTTTTAAACTTACTCCCGACAAATTAAATTACGTTCACATACTCATACGCAAGCTCGTGAGTGCATTGAGTTAAAATGTTCGGTTAATTGAAAGCGTTTCCACCCACTCGGTCACTTACGAGTTGCTGGCAGTTCGAATATTGCCAAAGTGCCATTGAAGGCGCCTTAGCGCAAATTTGACGGGACGATATTTTTTGGATAAAAGGCCGATGTCAAGTGGTGTAAAAACAACGACTATGGAAATTGGTAGAAGATATACTTAGCTGCTGTTTCGGAGAAGCGAAGCGGAGCTTTTCTCATGAACTCGGCTGCAAAGATACAACAAAACTTACCGTCAATGAAAAGCGGCTAAAATATTTGCTCAATTCAAAAGATTAGTTGTAAAATTCGTTTTTATTTGAATATTTTGCTATTTTGTTTGCATCAGCGGCATGAAGTTGAAAAATTAAATAAAAAATTCAAAATCAAAAACTGCTTTGCTTTCAGCTCCAAAACGCTTATGAAAAAGCTTGCTGTATGAACACTTTCATATAGCTACAGAAATTTGAAAGCTTTACTCAGCTCGGAAGGGCTTCGCTCGGCTCGGCTCCGCTTTCTGTGTGAACGTAACCAAAAACTTTATTTACAAATGAGAAATGAGGTTGAGAAATTGAAAATTTTAGAAACGGTTCGAAAGTGTATGCGACGGGCTTTCAAGAATTCATTAGATTTCTTCGTATGTATTTTCCCTCCTATCTTATGGACACCACAGTAGACCACTTAATCGGAACGGGCATTTCTTAAAGTAACTTGTATTTAAAAAAAAAATCCTGAAATATTTGATAAAAGCCTGGAATGAGTTGCAACTTGCTGTAATCATTTATCTGAACGTGTACATCATACATATCACGATGCAGAATTTTATGGTTTTGCAATCCTAGTGTCCGTTATTGAGAAACAAGGCAACTTACTGACGTCTCCCGTGTAGACTTGCAGGGCAATTCTGGCAAACTATCTTTCAACTCACCATAAGACAAAAGTCTTTCGTAAGACAATTGTCAATATTGGAAACTATCTTGCAAGCTCGTTACTGTCTTTCGAAAGACTAATTGAAAGAGCTGCTAAAGAGGAGGTCTTAACCTTATTCTGTTAGTCTTTTAGAAATAAGTTTTTTAAAATTTAATTAAATTAAATAGTACAGGAGGATAAGTTCGGGTGAAAACGAGCTTTATATGCCCGGCGCATGTATTTAATGTCGTTCTTTCATATTTCAGTAAACTGCATGATTTCGAGTTTCGATAATATGGTATGATATACTGAATTTATTGAACCAAGTTTGGTGGAAGTCGGTAAGATGGTTGTCGATATACACTTATGTATGTTGTCAGAAGTGGGTGGTGACACGCCCATTTCACAAAAATCAGTAATCTTGTATCATGTTAGGAGATTGTTGATAGTTATTAAAATTTTGGAGTTCTCGTACTTCGGAAATTTACGATTATATGGCAAGTGGTAGTAATTTTAAACCGATTTCAAAAATTTGCAACATATTGCTTTTTTGCGCCAAGGTAGATAAATGTGCCGAGTTTGGTAGAAATTGATAAAACGGTTACCAAGATAAACATATGTAGGCGTAAGCAATGTTCGCACCGAGTTTGGTGATGAACGGACTACAGAGATATGGCATTTCATCATAAGTGAGCATAACTGTCTTATATCCAGCTTTCAACAAGTTGGATCCAGTATTTGCGGAAATATCGTAGTTTTTGCATATTTCGAAAATACGGTTATATGGGAGACGGGAGCGGTGAATGTCCGGTTCTAACTATTTTCAATCCCAACCTACCTTGGATAAAGGGCAACCTATTTATCAAATTTCGTTGGCAAATATCAATTTTTCCACGAGTTATCGTGTACACGGACAGACGGACGGACGGACAGACATGGCTTAATCTATTTCTCTTTTCATTCTGAGCATTTATGTATACAGTTAGCTATATCTATCTCGATTCGTTGTGGCTGTTACAAGCAACCGTTATGACAGCAAAGTTATAATACCCTTGTGCGCAAGTGCGCTCGGGTATAAAAACATATATATTTTCTTTTTAAAACAATAAAAGAAAAATAAATCAGAACAAAAGAATGTGTTTATATAAAGCAAAAAAATGTATATTTTTAAAAATTAAATATACTTAAAATAACAAATAAATTAAATAAGAAAATGAAAAAAATCTAAAAGAAGCAAACAAGAAAAAGTTTAAATAAAGAATAAAAATATATTTTTAAAAATTAAATATACTTAAAATAACAATTCTCTTCTTCATGCAAAAATAGAATCTAAAAATTAAATTGGAAAAAGAAAAAAGCAATTAACACTTAAAAAATAAATTAAATGAAAAAAAAAAATTTATTTGTAAAATTTCTAAAAATTAAAGTAAAAGTAAATTTAAAAGAAGACAAAAAACAATTAAATTTAACAATTAAACAAAATGAAATTAACGATAGAAAAACCAAACAGAATTAAAAAATATATAATAAATAAATTAAGTTTCTAAAAATTAAATGATAAAAAATATATTTTTCTGTTTAGAACAATTAAATGTAAAAATTAAAAGAACATGAAATTAACAAAAAAATAAAAATTAAATTGAAAATAAAAAAATAATTAAAATTAGTTTCTAAAAACCAATTAACATATTTTTTTTAATAATAAAATAAAATTAACAAAAGAAAAACAAATTAAATTAAAAAAGTAAGTTTTTAAAAATTAAACGAAAATAAAAAATAGGTTTCTTTTTTAATCAATAAAATCTAAAAATTAAGAGAAAGCAAATTAAAACAATGTAAAAAAAGAAAGAAAAAATTCTGCTGCCCGAGGACTCGAACTTGGATCTCTCGAATGGCACGCCTATACTTTGCTCACTCGGCCATTGCGACTGTTGGAGCCATGTATGGTAAATGATGCAAAAACTCTTTCTCTCAAAACAGCTTTTCACCATGAGTGGTGAATGAGAGTGCTTTTTTCCAAGACTTTTGTGCTAGTATACCAAAAGTCTTTCAAACTGCCTTACCTTTTACTTTTTTACTATCTTGGCCAGCTTTTTTGTTAAGCTTTTTATCGATCGCAGCCTTGCAAAGCTCCATGGATTTTATAACCTCACAGGTAATTACACACCCTTAAATTTGTGTTGTCCTGCCTCAATGCACTTTTGCTATTGCGAGTCAGACCCACTTCTAAGGATCCTACTTTCTTTCCTTTATAATCCTCTGATTTTTTGCTATCACAGCAAAAGATCAAGTCCAGACACCAGAAGTTTTGGTGCTTTTCAATATCATTATTTAGGCGTCATCCCCGCTTTCATAGAGTTCCCCCGATCCTTTCCAATCGGTGTGTAAACCAGATGATGACGGTCGATGCGCCAGACTTAGTGCTTGCCCTGTCACAATTTTTATTTAAAATTTTAATGGTGGTAGAATGTAAATTCCGTTTTATTAACTTATTGCAAACACAGCAGCTACTATTTTCATATTGCCAGCTCTAATAGTAGATATCCCCTTGGTCGCAGATTCTGCCGCAAAAGTCATTCGTTATGCGTGGAAAAATAACAGCAAACCGCTGTTTATTACACCAACCGCACTGGTGCCAACTGTTGCAATCGCAAATTGCAACTGACATGTTGACCTGCATAGCCAAATGTTCGCATAAATACACGCTCACAATTGCATAGTTGTATCGTAATGGAGAGGTCTCCAAAGGCATTTGGCATGTAAATGAATTTGTATTTCCGCGCCTTTGGGGATGCGATCTGCAAACATACTTTCTAAGAGAACAGCAGCAAGGTAGAAAGAAAAGAGCAGCAAAGAAGCAAAAGTCATGGAAAATTGCAAAACTTGAAACGGCGGCCAATGCAAATACAAAACAAAATTTTACTGAAAAAAAAACTAATATGATGGTACGTGTGTGGCAAGAATTGACGTCATAAAAGCAACGTTTATTACCGACGCTAGAGTTGAACAAAAGTAAAAACATAAATAACAAAAAATATGCAGTAATCAAAGCTATGAAAATATCAGAAGAATATGCATAGAATGGAAGTGGCAAGAATATGCATTTTGCCTTTTGGCGTTAAGTAAACGTTTGTGGCAACTTTATATGCACAAAAGTCGAGCAACAGGACAA